GGTGCAGTGGTAGTTCTAGCTTCGGTTTCTGTAATAAATAGCATTTTCTGGGAGCGGGTTATCAGCCCGCCGCCCAACCCCCAACCTGGAGGACCAGGTCCAGGTCCAGGACCAGAACCAATATTCAGCAACACATTAATAAGTTCATTTGAGAATTATTTTTTGTTACAGAAACTCGCAGCCAGCATAATATTAAAAATCCTTGTTATTCCCACTCGATTCATGCCCGCGCAATTGGGCCATCAATCGAAGGGGGACAAAAACTCGGTCCGTAACTTACTGTAAGGACCTCGAACTCAACTTGGTTACTAAGAGGTATTGATTTCGTATTATCGTCAATGGACAAAATGGCATGCATGTGAACTCGCTAGTTATCCAAAACGAGGGTAGCATCATTTTTCATGAAAACAAGAGGACACGGGTCTGTTTTACGTGATAGACAGTCTGTCTTGAAGGCACTGAACAACACTAAAGAACACACGTCGCCAGCACAACATGGACAACTCAATTATCACTTGATAATACAACTGAATTATTAGTTATCTACACTACTACTACACAAAACCGAGAGCACACCTTAAACTGAGAGCTAACAGTCGGTCTTTTCCTTGAAGACTTCTTTGTTCCTGCTGCTGGCACCGAGGGCTTCAGGTGTTCAACTATGTCGTAAATAAAATCCGACCTACAACAAATAACCCAATTTGGTTATAATGAACGTTCACGAAGTATGACTAAGTCCCGCGCTAAGCACACGTACGTTCACGCTGGATACTAAAGGATACACAAACAACAAACCTTAAATTACATTTTGCAAATCAAAAACAATAAAAATAGAGTCGGACCTCCACTAACAGCCACCTCTCTAAAACGGCCACTTTCCTCTGGTCCCAAAGTGGCCGTCCTGGAGGAGTTCCACTGTAGTTTACTCATTGACACCAATTGCAAATCTCATTACTTTCATTTAGATGTTATGTTTCCCGAAAAGGACATTAAGCTCCCTGATACAGATTGAGAGCTTAAGAAAAGAAAGCTCCTTTCAGAAAAATGTCCATTTTCTCGAACCGTAAGGCTGGCAACTGGCCTCTGAAAATTCTAAAATTGTTAGATTATATTACCTGCTTTCCATCAGCACATTAAGAATCTCATCACGAAAAGCATCTCTGTGAAAATAAGCAAAAAATAAATAAATAAACAAAAAATCATTCAAAGAACTAAGCCAGAATCAGTTTTTGTTTCTGTTTTTGTTTGTCTGTTTGTTTGTTTTTTTCGGACAAATCTTGAATCTATTTGTGAGAAAGTTGCCTAGAACTTTCCTAGGCCTCAATATTTCCCCTCAGTCAATCGGTTTCGGGTCGGATACGTCACCGAAATCAATTGTCTGTTAAGGTCTGGGAGAAAGCCGTACAGGAACTAGGCGAGCGAGAAAAGGTGTTTTCATTTTCCACTGGACAACACAAACGTCACCTGTTTTTCTCCAGAAAACCTTTGGTGCTGTAATAGACCTGCAAAGTGAGAAATTAAGGGTTATCGAGATACACAGTATGCTAGTTTTTAAAAGGACAAAATCATCACTGGTAATGGGTCGGTAATGAAATACAGCAGAGAAAAAATAAAACAAAAAAAAAAGCATTTCCGTTTTACCTCTCCAGCATAATGCTTGATACCAAATTTTGTGTTTGCAACACGCGGTTTAATATAAAACGTATTTCCCTGTTAAGAAAAAAATATTTCCTGTATTAAAATAACAATTTGCAACATCTGTGTTTTGTTAGATAGCTCTGCAGCTGCTTAACGATAATTTCTTGACCATGAGATGGATGGGAGTTCATTCAGTGTATGTTGTCAAGTACTCCTAGTTAATGATGGCTGGATTAAAGTGCAAACCCCTAACGAACGCTTACCACGCTGCTTTCAGTATACATGATGTTTACAAAGTAATCTTTCGTATTCTCCCTGTCCTCGGAGGAAGATGGGAATAGAGGTGTAGTAAGTGTGTTCCCAGGGCATTTCTTGTTCTCCTAAACTTCCACTTGGATGTGTTTCTCTAACTCAATAGACTCGCAGAAAATGTTCTCTATTTATTATTAAAAATTGACGCTGTCACAGGCAATAAGTCAAACCTCATGACTTGAATGTAATTTGTCCAGCATGGATTCATCAGTTCCTTTAGGAAAGTTGCTCTCTTCATCAATCAATGCAAGGACACCAAGTTTCTATCAAATGTTCAAAAACAACAAATTTAATCATCTTGTTTGATTATGTGTTAGTCTCCTTCTCAGCCGTTATTAGTGTCGTCGCACAGCTCCAGGGGAGAAGCGTTGCGTGAGGACTCTGACAACGGCTGAGAAGGAAACTAAATATGTGTTGGAGCGAAACTATTTGGGAAACTCTCTTAATAAGTACTCTACTACTCACTTTTTCAATAAGATCCAGACATTCTCCATTGTCCACCCAGTCAATGTCTGCCCACTCCAGCCCCTCCCTAAATACAAAAGAGAACGGTTCCATAACCTTGGCTTATGCCTTCATAATCAGATAATTGATTCCTAACACTGGACGATTAAACTAGTCAGGAGACGTTTAAAACCTGAATGATCTATCAGTTATTAATACAGTTACTTATTATATAGACACGAGTGTTTTACATATATCTTATTAGATATTTTGGTGTGTAGTATCGCTTTATATTTTTACTCGTTGTTTGTATTTTGACGAGCCCGTACGGCACAACTCGTTAAAATATACAGTGATACTACACACCAAAACATCTAATCAGATATACACATTCTATCATGTTGGAAGCGAAAGAACCAATTAAGCTTACTTTAATTTTGATGAAAAATTAGAGACCATTTGAAAAATTCAAATCCAAGAATGACGGTTGAACTACAGTATGTATCTATAAAGAACCGATTCGAATATCAGAGAGCTGTCTGAAGGATGCCAAAATTAATCTTAAAACTCTGTCGAGTGGTAAAGTTATAGAGTTAATGCTGATGTTTTGTAAAAGCTACATGTAATTAAACTAATGTTCAAGTGTGTTTCACTCTAAATGGTTAGAAAAGTCAAGTGGTTCATCACTGCCAAATAAATGCTAACTCCTATTAAATCTGTAGCAGAGGTACAAGTATTGTTAGTGACAGTTGTTCTTTATGGAATACAGGTTAGTCCTGAACATTTGGCCAGTAGCCGTTCATACTCGTGTGCTAACAGACACTTTGAGAGTAAAGTGTCTTCCCCAAGGACACTGAACTACATAATAAATCTAGAGTCCAGGCCCAGGTTTTTAGAAAGGTGGATAAGGCTATCCACCACGCCCCAGTTGTTCAAAGGCTGGATAACGCTATCCACAGGATAAATCATTATCCAGTGGATGAGAGTTAACAAAACAAACCACGCTATCAACTGGATGGCAATTCATCCCGTGGATAGCATCATCCACCTTTCGAAGAACCCGCGCCAGATGAATCACTATCCAACTGGAAAGCGTGGTCAACAAAGTTTGCTAACACTTATCCACTGGATAGTGATTTATCCAGTGGATAGCGCTATCCAGCCTTTGAACAACTGGGGCCAGTACACTCACCGTTCAAATTAAATTACCTGTTGTACTCGTGTTGCTCCAGTGAAAAGATATGTTTGTTGAAATATTGTTGGAGCTTCTCATTGGCATAGTTGATGTTGAACTGCTCAAATCTGTTAACCTGGTTATTCAAATGTAAAACAAGTTACAGTCAAACCTCCACTAACGACCACCTCTCTACAACGGCCACTTTTTTTGTCTCGGCGGACGGTCCATACATTCACTCTTATTTTAACCTCTCTACAATGGCCACCTCTCCACAACGGCAATTGCCACGTAAGCGTGACTCGCAACGGCCAAAATAACCTCTCGACAACAGCCAGTTGATCAACAACTGACGAACCGTGTAAACAAAACCCCATTTTTATCATAAAAGGTCATGAAAATTGATCGATATCGTGCATCATTTGTCTCTGTTTCTATTTTANGACAACACAAACGTCACCTGTTTTTCTCCAGAAAACCTTTGGTGCTGTAATAGACCTGCAAAGTGAGAAATTAAGGGTTATCGAGATATACAGTATGCTAACGTTTAAAAGGACAAAATCATCACTGGTAATGGGTCGGTAATGAAATACAGCACAGAAAAAAAATTTAAAAAAACAGCATTTCCGTTTTACCTCTCCAGCATAATGCTTGATACCAAATTTTGTGTTTGCAACACGCGGTTTAATATAAAACGTATTTCCCTGTTAAGAAAAAAAAAATTTCCTGTATTAAAATAACAATTTGCAATATCTGTGTTTTGTTACATAGCCCGGCAGCTGCCTGACGATGAATTCCTGGCCATGAGATCGATGGGAGTACATATGTTGTCAAGTATTCCCAGTATAGTGGCTGGATTGCAATGCGAACCCCTAAAGAATGTTTACGACGCTGCTTCCAGTATACATAATATTTGCCAAGTAATCTTTCGTATTCTCCCTGTCCTCGGGGGAAGATGAGAATAGAGGGGCAGTAAGTGTGTTCCCGGGGCATTTCTTGTTCTCCTAAACTTCTACTTGGATGTGTTTCTCTCACGCAATAGACTCGCAGAAAATGTTCTCTATTTATTATTAAAACTTGACGCTGTCACAAGCAAGAAGCCAAACCTCATGACTTGAATGTAATTTGTCCAGCATGGATTCGTCAGTTCCTTTAGGAAAGTTGCTCTCTTCATCAATCAATGCCAGCACACCAAGTTTCTATCAAATGTTCAAAAATAACAAATTTAATCATCTTGTTTGATTATGTGTTAGTCTCCTTCTCAGCCGTTATTAGGGTCGTCACGCAACTTCAGGGGAGAAGCATTGCGTGAGGACCCAAATAACGGATGCGAAGGAGACTAAATACGTGCTGGAGCGAAACTATTTGGGAAACTCTCTTAATAAGTACTGTACTACTCACTTTTTCAATGAGATCCAGACATTCTCCATTGTCCACCCAGTCAATGTCTGCCCACTCCAACCCCTCCCTAAATACGAAAGAGAACGGTTCCATAACCTTACGTCTTAATAATCAGCGAATTGATTATATTCCTAACGCCACAAGATTAAACTAGTGGAGAGGTTTAAGACATGAATGATCTATCAGTTCTTTACTAACTGAACGTAATAATACGGGTACATATTCTATTGTAATGTAAGCGAAAGAACCAATTAAGCTTACTTTAATTTTGATGAAAAATTAGAGACCATAGGCATTTGAAAAATTAAAATCCAAGAATGAGGGTTGAACTACAGTTTTTATCTATTAAGAACCGATTCGAATATCAGAGTGCTGTCTGAAGGATGTCAAAACTAATCTAGTCAAGTTTTAAAGTTATAAAGAGTGTGGTTTTCAGTTGAGTATCGTAAAACCAAAACTTAAGTAATCACTCTAGCCAATCACAAAGGACACACAATCCAATGAACCAATCAAAACTCGAAGTAATTACATGTAGCCGGCACAAAGCGCGGGAAAACGTGTGCAAGTGAAGCATGATTAGGTTTGGTTTTACTTCTGATTGGATGAAAAAGTGGCGCGAGTTTCTTAAGCCAATCGTGTAGGGTAGTAAGTGCAAAACCAATTATTTTTCGACACTCAAATGAAAACCGCGCTAATGTTGATGTTTATAACAAGTACAAGTGTGTTTCACTCAAAATGGGTAAGAAAAGCCACGTGGTTCATCACTGTCAATAAATACTAACTCCAGTTAAATCTGTATCAGAGCTACAAGTATTGTTAGTAACAGTTGTTCTTTCTGGAGTAGAGGTTAGTCCTGAACATTTGGCCAGTAGCCGTTCAAACTCGTGTGCTAACAGACACTGTGAGAGTAAAGTGTCTTTCCCAAGGACACTGAACTACGTAATAAATCTAGAGCCCAGGCCCAGGTTTTTAGAAAGGTGGATAAGGCTATCCACCACGCCCCAGTTGTTCAAAGGCTGGATAACGCTATCCACCGGATAAATCATTATCCAGTGGATAAGTGTTAACAAAACAAACCACGCTATCCACTGGATGGCAATTCATCCCGTGGATAGCATTATCCACCTTTCGAACAACCCGCGCCAGATGAATCACTATCCAACTGGATAGCGTGGTCAACAAAGTTTGCTAACACTTATCCACTGGATAGTGATTTATCCAGTGGATAGCGTTATCCAGCCTTTGAACAACTGGGGCCAGTACACTCACCGTTCAAATTAAATTACCTGTTGTATTCGTGTTGCTCCAGTGAAAAGATATGTTTGTTGAAATACTGTTGGAGCTTCTCATTGGCATAGTTGATGTTGAACTGCTCAAACCTGTTAACCTGGTTATTCAAATGAACAAACAAGTTACAGTCGAACCTTTACTAACGACCACCTCTCTACAACAGCCACCTCTCTACAATGACCTCTTTTTTGTCTCGGCGGACAGTCCATACATTCACTCTTATTTTAAACTCTCTACAATGGTCACCTCTCCACAACGGCAATTTCCACGTAAGCGTGACTCGCAACGGCTAAAATAACCTCTCGACAACAGCCAGTTGATCAACAACTGACGAACGGTGTAAACAAAACCCCATTTTTATCATAAAAGGTCACGAAAATTTGATCGATATCGTGCATTATTTGTCTCTGTTTCTATTTTATCCATATATTTTGTTTGTGTTACGTATCTACATGCTACAATAAGCATTTTATAACGATAAAAATGTTGCATCCCCAAAAAATAAAGGTGTCACATTACACGACTTCCTCCCCATAACGGCCTCCTCTCTCCAATGGCCACTTTCCTCTGTCCCAAGGTGGCCGTTGTGGGGAGGTTAGACTGTAATTTAAAAATTAACATAACACCGCCTTTTACAAATAAAGATATGTGCTAAAAACCAACTCAAAGCCGAATAACTCACATCAAAGTTCTCAAATCCAAAAATGTCAAGAACACCAATAGAGGAGAAGCTGTTGTTGCCCTTGATTCTCTGGTTGATCTTGTTGATGAGCCATTTAAATGTGCAAGCATAAAGATTCATGGCCATTGAATCCCTGGAATCCAGTGCCTGTAAAAAGTATTATTTACAGTGTAAAATAACTAGTTAAGAGTGTAACAACTAAGAAAGAGAAAGAGTAACTTAACCAGTATGGTAGTATTGTTTCATCTTTTAGCTTCTTGGTTTATGTTTGATTTCAGTGTGTACATTAGAAGGTAAATTTCTGTGCAAAAAGAATTTCTACACGCTGAATTTTGAACTTTTGTTGATGTGCATGTATCAACCCCCATTGTGCATGTCCACACATAATGTCAACACCAACGAATACCACTTGCTCCTGTCCATCAACAACTGTGTGGCAATTGCCTCATTTAAGACACTGACTTAAATGGGAATACTTGGTTTACAATTATAGGTCTGCAATGCATACAGAGAGAGATTAATATTACTGCACCTGTTCTACAGATAGAGGTGACTGGATTTCTTCTCCTCTGAGGATCATTGACTTCTGGGTCAAAGCATCAGTCAGCTCATAGATGTCCACACGAAGAAGATTTGCAACATTCTCCAACACTGGCCACAAAAAATGAACTCCCATTAGAAGAAAGTGTTTTTTACAAACTACATGCACACCAGCAAGCAGCAGTTTAAAGAAATAATCTACTGTACATGTATTTAACATTTAGTAACTCAATGAAGTGTTTAGTAACTCAATGAAGAGTTAGCACATGGCATTTGAACCAGCACTAAAATTAATTATCCTTATGTGTCATTAAATCTCTTCCATAAAATTTCTGTAAGTTGGCTTGTTTGGTCATCATCAGGATGTTTTTCTTGTGGAGCTCTTGAAATCCTTTAGTTTCATGGCCTGCAGACATTTAATAACCTATTCCATTTCCCCTGTCTTTACGCTCACACATTGATGTACGCTTTGATGCATTTGTTAGGATTTCTAGATGCTGAGATTAGCCATGTATTTCTCCATCCCTTGCTAATTTTTTATCATCTAAAATTCCATGGTCACAAGTACATCACTCTTGCCTTGTTCCATTGCAAGCACAACCCTCCATCCATGCGCAGCTAAATAAAGGAATTGTGCCCTATTAAAGAGCTAACCATTCCCTAGCCTAGTCAGCCCTAATTTAAGCTAACCAAAATGCTACTCAGGCTACTCAAGTGCTGTTCAGGCTAACCAAAGTGATGTTTAGGCTAACTGGTGAACATTATTTTTAGAGTGGTGCGATTCCTGTGTTTAGCCACTTGTCTCCATCCTGCCTTCACACAGAATGGAACAGAATGAACACAGAGGAGGAAAGCATCAGCTTCTGTTTCTTACATACCACTTTTTTCTGCAACTTGAGCACCACCTGCAGCCATAAAATTAACATTTCCAAGTTGCAGGACACCAGCAATGACCTGAAGGACATCGGCAATTTCTTCCTCTGTGAAACACATCACCTTCATAGCATTCTNGCTAAATACAGAAATTGCATCCTATTAACGAGCTAACATTCTCTAGTCAGCCCTAATTTAAGCTAACCAAAACACTACTCAGGCTAATCGGAGTGTTGTTCAGGCTAACCAAAGTGATGTTTAAGCTAACTGGAGAACATTTTAGTGTGGTGCAATTCCTGTATTTCACTGCTTGTCTTCATCCTGCCTTCAAACAGAAAGGAACAGAATGAACACAGAGGAGGAAAGCATCAGTTTCTGTTTCTTACACACCACTTTTTTCTGCGACTTGAGCACCGCCTGCAGCCATGAAATTAACATTTCCAAGCTGTAGAACACCAGCAATGACCTGAAGGACATCGGCAATTTCTTCCTCTGTGAAACACATCACCTTCATAGCATTCTGGCAAGAAGTACAATGGTAATGGATTATTACTATGGTTGAGATTATCAAGGACTGTGTTCCAGCTTTAGCCTCAGCTGAAAACATTGTTAGTTAAACACCAACAAGCTGATTTTTACACATGCAACAATTCCTGCACTATAGAGTTTCTAAACTGATAACTTGTCTGAGTGTAATTTGAGTATACTGGTCATTAAAAACAGACAAAGTAAAGCAATAAATGGAGTAGATACTTACTGGAAACAAACCAGTGCCAAAATAGTTTATTAATTAAGTAACAGTGGATGCAAGCATAAGATGTCTTTATCATTCATCTCAACACAATGAACTTCTTAATATTAATAAATCATAAATGTTAAATCACTCTCTATCTTTGAAACCGCCACCAATTTGTTCAATTGTCATCTCACTTCTACTCATTACCATTTTTTTAAAGTTGGCATACCATAACATTGTTGAAATCTTCCTTGTCATTGATTGATGGGTCTCCATAGCAACCACTCTGCTTAAGATAGTGATACTTTTCTGGAGAATTCAGGAGTAGCACACCTGCATAGAATGATCCAATCAAAATTGAGCATGGCATAAGCATGTCAAAGTCTTATTTAATTATCATTTCTTAGATTCACACAGTACTTGTAACTTACTGGTTTCAGGGAAAAAAGCAACAAGTCAAAGACTCAGGAATATGCAATTGTGAAAATTGCTGGACCAAAGAGTGGATATACATGTAGAAGGGATGAATTGGGTGGCTAGCCACCCCCCTTTTGGAGAAGCAAAACACACAAAAAATTAACACTGTGAATTTAATATGATAGAAAAGTCGAACACACTGGACATGTACAGTGACCCTATGGTAATTTCTACTGTGACATAGATAGTAGTTCTGGTGGAACCCCAGGGTACCAGCTACCCTTCCCTCTCCTTGAAAATTACTGTATCTGTCCCTGTGACCCAACATCAGTTGCTGGGCTGAGTTTGTTGTTGATTTTCCCTCTAGCTCAGAGGGTTTTTCTCCAGGTTTCCCAGTATTCCTCCCCGAAAAAGACCTAAACTTCTAAATTCCAATTTGATCTAGAAACAACTTGCATGATTAACCACTCCACTGAAGTGCCAATGCTAATTCCTATTCATGCCCATTCTATTTTATTCAAAGTAGCTAATCAACATGGATCAAAACTGGCAAAATTGTAAAGAAACCATATGTTCATTTACTTACTCCTTTGGTCTTCAGAGGCACCAGCCAGGAGAGAGTAAAAAATATGATAATTCCTTTCTCCTGGATTTTGTCTGACCACACGATTCTACAGAAAACAAGCAATGCATAGACAGTGTACTTTCAGTTCCAAGCTAAAAATATCAAATCTCCTAACATTATAAATAATACTGTAATGTATAGAGTTTATATTACATCAGTTGTAAAAAGTGTGAGTAAGAATTATATTAATATTGTAATAACAAATGATAATAAAATATAAAAATATTGCGTCAGCTCAGTCTTCCTAGAAATTAAAATTCATCAATTGAAGGGGTGTGTCAAATAAAGCCCTAGGTGACTTTTGGGAAACATTGGGGTAACCAGCACTGAAATACCTGCCAGCAATTTATACTCTTGTCTTCATTACTGTCTAAAAAGAACTAGTAGTAATTACTAGTTCTTTTGAGACAATAGCTAAAACCAGAGTAAACTGTGAAAATAGCTGCTAGGTATTTCAATCCTGGCTGCTCATAATTTTCCAAAAGTCACTTAGGGCTTTATTCCATGCACCCCTTCAACTGGAGATAAATCTGATCTCAAAGACAAGTATTGCCCAGTTGATGATTTTCTTTATTTTCACTACAATTTAATACTAATTGTTAAATAATTAATTAAAAATATCTCAGTGTCAAATTGATATATAATTTCAACTAAGGAATAGAAATAATTAAAATTAAATTTAGCAAGAACAAGTCAGTGGTAAATATAACAAATTTTGACAGCATAACATCAATTAAAGTCAATGAAGAGTAATTATAGATATTACCTTCTCAAGGAGGACTGTTTTTCAGATATAAATCAGGTGAACAAGTTAAGGTCTGAACAAACAGAAAATGCAGAGATTTTCATCATACTTCACTCAAAGCCCTTGTGATTTTAAGGCAACTTTTTAAAATGCTGCTGTGAGCAAAAATCAATTCTGCTTTTTCTTTGTATTTCAAAACTGTATTACTGAACCACTAAGTGACCGAAGTTTTAAGCCTTCATTTCAAAAAGACAGTTGTTCATTTTGACTGAAATTTTCCTAATTAATGGTCCGCCATTACTAACTTTAAAATCTTGAGAGAGCTGGATCAAGGATAAGATGACGTCAAAGACTCACTAGTTTAAAAATGCAATGCATGTGCACACACCTAAATTAATACATGTATGCAGCATGGAAGTTTTGAACTTTCAGACCTTTTAACTCGTGTTTTGCACGTACAATAAGCTGCATTTACACGCTGCAATTTTAAGCTAGTGAGTCTTTGACGTCATCTTATCCTCGATCCAACCCTCTGACATCCAATCGGTCAGCCTTAAATGTGAAATGGCAGACCGTGAAATCCTAAACTTGCACTCAAAGAAAACAGCCTTTGGATAAAATTCGAAGTTCAAGATTTTGCCTGTCAGGTGTCAAACAAAGACGCTTTTAAAATCTGAAGGAAAAAGGGATCATAGCAGCACTTTAATTAAGCCTGTTATTTACTGCTCTCTTCCTCAGCAATACATTCATCAAAAAATTCAATTCAATCAAAAGAGAGAGGACTACATATAATTATTAGAAAATTATTAGAAAACTAAGATTAGTTTTCTTTGGTAAAACTGTAGTTCAATTTCCAAGTTTTTAGCAGGAGATGTCACACAGCTGTACAAATCCATATAGAAATGTAGCTATAAAACACATCATTCAAGAACATTTTGATCCATTTCTTGAAATGTACATTAAACTAATCTTGTTCTTGTCCTTTTTGAAATGCAAGATGTTCAGTGTAAAAAAACCTGGCATTGATCAGCAAAAAATGTGTTGTAAATACATTGTGCTCATCATATGTCAATATATATAAGAGGATACAGTCTTGAATTTTGCCTCCATCCATTCGTCCCTTGGAGTTAAACTGCAAGTGAATGAACTTCCCAAATCTACTGGAGTTGTTGTTATAAACNCATTACTAACTTTAAAATCTTGAGAGAGCTGGATCAAGGATAAGATGACATCAAAGACTCACTAGTTTAAAAATGCAATGCGTGTGCACACACCTAAATTAATATGCAGCATGGGAGTTTTGAACTTTCAGACCTTTTAACTCGTGTTTTGCATGTACAATAAGCTGCATTTACACCCTGCAATTTTAAGCTAGTGAGTCTTTGACGTCATCTTATCCTCGATCCAACCCTCTGATATCCAATCGGTCAGCCTTGAATGTGAAATGGCAGATCATGAAATCCTAAACCTGCACTTAAAGAAAACAGCCTTTGGATAACATTCAAAGCTCAAGATTTTGCCAGTCAGGTATCAAACAAAGATGCTTTTAAAATCTGAAGGAAAAAGGGAAGTGAATTTTTTGATCATAGTAGCACTTTAATTAAGCCTGTTATTCACTGCTCTCTTCCTCAGCAATACATTCATCAAAAAATTCAATTCAATCAAAAGAGAGAGGACTACATATAATTATTAGAAAATTATTAGAAAACTAAGATTAGTTTTCTTTGGTAAAACTGTAGTTCAATTTCCAAGTTTTTAGCAGGAGATGTCACACAGCTGTACAAATCCATATAGAAATGTAGCTATAAAACACATCATTCAAGAACATTTTGATCCATTTCTTGAAATGTACATTAAACTAATCTTGTTCTTGTCCTTTTTGAAATGCAAGATGTTCAGTGTAAAAAAACCTGGCATTGATCAGCAAAAAATGTGTTGTAAATACATTGTGCTCATCATATGTCAATATATATAAGAGGATACAGTCTTGAATTTTGCCTCCATCCATTCGTCCCTTGGAGTTAAACTGCAAGTGAATGAACTTCCCAAATCTACTGGAGTTGTTGTTATAAACGGTCTTTGCATTACCAAAGGCTTCCATGATCGGGCTAAACAAAAAACAAAAAGAAGGTCAGACTCTATGCTACTAACAATGTACATATACATCACAAATTATTCAAAACCTAATCCCCAGGACATGGTAGGGTCCAAAACCCAATCTTTGTCAGGAGTTACAGGGGCAGATCTAGGGGGAGGGTGCAGGGGTGCAACCCCCCCCCCCTCCCTTCTGAGATGACTTTCTGACAGACCAGTATTCTTCAAAACATTTAACCATGTGGTTTATTGGTGTTATGTCATTCCTTAGTGGTGCACCCCCTCCTAAGAAAACTCCTGGATCTGTCCCTGATTTAGACATTGTACATAATTAAACATCATCATGTGCCAACTGATTTCTCTAATATATATCCAAGTTGTGCTCCCTTGGCCAACTACATACAGTGTAGGTACTACATGTATGTCTGTAGTAGAGAAACATGTACAATGTAGAAGTCATGTTGAAAACTGAAGACACTCTAGATCTGGGTTCAATTATCAAGTTACAGTGGAACCTCCCTACCATCACCTCATTATTACAGCCATTTTATACTGGCCCAAACAAAAGCTCAGCTAGGCGTTCTCTAATTTAGTAACACGGCCAGATTTGTTTGGCCCGTTGGTGATCAGATCAACAGGGTTCCACTGTACTTAAGATTTCTCATTATTTTAAAAGGTTTGACTGTCTGCATCAACATCAAGAATTTGCAAACAGGAATTTGGGCGTGATGCTCAATGAGTTTGCCTTTGAATTCTAAAAGTCTCTGACGAGTCTCTTTGCCGAGACGAAACGCCGTGTCAGACTAGCCACGAACATTTCACAAGTATTTGACAATTGTTTGCTTTTATATAAATTTAACTTGTGAACGTATGGTTGAGAATCCTTCTGCGATAGTGGGCCAGACTGTCAACATCAAGAATTTGCAAACGGGACTTTGGGCGTGATGCTCAATGAGTTTGCCTATGAATTCTTAAGGTCTCTGAAGAGTCTCTTCGCTGAGATGAAATGCCAAGTCAGACTAGCCACGAACATTTCAGTGACAAGTATTTGACAACTGTTTGCTTTTGTATAAAAGGTTTGTTAACATCAATATAAAGCTTGTCATTGACAAGTCGTGTGGTACTAAACAACAACTAGCTCATGACAAGAATCGCATGAACTGTACTATCTACTATTAACTAAATGAAAAGCCTCGGATTACCTGCTCTGTAGGATAGCGTCGTCTACATTTGGAGTGTTCTCCAATTCTCCTGTCCCTCGGCTGACATCTGATAAATACTTCAAAATAAACTTTGTGGACTCTGTCTTACCAGCACCTGATTCACCACTGTGTAGAAAGAAATGTCAATAGTAATGCCAAGGTCTAAGTTTCTGAATGGATACTGCATGTCCAGCACTCTCAGGGAGATACAGTGCAGTGTCTCCCCCCCCCCCCCACCCCCACCCCCCAGAGGGTTGGGTGGGGTGGGTGGTAGAACAAACCCAAATTCAGATGCTTAAGGATTTCACTAGTTTATNCCCCCCCCCCCCCCCACCCCCACCCCCCAATTTTGGATTATAGTTCTTGAATAAGCTAAGGAAGATACAATAACATGTACAGTGGAATCCTAATTTCTCAAACCCTAGGAGGTTCCAAAAACATCCGGATTCCACCATACATATACTAAAAGCCACTGACAGGTTCTAATGATGGGGTCATATCTTTTTGAGGAATATGTGATGAGAACTTAGGAGCTGGGAGGTCGAGACACATGAAAGTGGCTATCAGCTATTAAATAAATATACTTAACAAATGAGGAGGAAGTCCTGCCTAGGTAACATTATAGCAATTAACATGGTTTTATATACCAGTAAAACTAAAAAGAGGTGATAACGATGAAAATTACTAAATAGTGCTTTTATAATGTACCTTATGAGTACACACTGACTTTCGCCCTTTTTCCACATGGAATAGTAACACTCATTGGCAATAGCATACACATGGGGTGGTAGTTCACCAATATGCTTCTCTCTGTACGACGCCATTACTGATCTCTCATAAAGCCCTTCAACCACGTAATAAGGGTTTATTGCACACAATATTGATCCAATGTAGGTCTGATAAAAGTCAAAAAAAGTAACTTTTTATTTACTTTAGAAATCTTATACAATCAACACATAGATCTGACAAATAAACAACAAACACAAAATCGGTCCTTTAGAAAATAACAATAATTATTATATTAAGTAAATAATGGCTTATCTCAGGAACCACACAACTACATGTATATTATTATCTGATTTTTGACTGCTCAGCCTCTGGTCCTTCTCATCTTACAAGTAAATTTTGTGCAATTTGCAGAACACTATAATTTAATTTCCCAATTTCACCACATTATTGACAATAATTGATATCCTGACAATTTAAACTTATTGATCACCTCCAGGCCTGGAGGAGTCAGTCACTTACATATATCTTGTCACTCTTGTATCTAAGATGTAGATTGTGAAGAATAGCTGCATCATGGAGGTCACCTAAGTTGGCCATATCATCCACTCCATCCACGCTTGTTTGATGCATGGGAGTGACATTCTGTCTGTTGAGTGCCTCTTTGGCAATGTTGTAAGTCTGTTGCATTAATAATTTAACAAAATTAATGGTAAGACCTTTCCTGCATTCCACTTTATGAGTACAACCAATAGTACCAGAACGAGGTTGGGGTGGACAATTTCACACACTTGTTGTATTTTTGTCAACCTTTACCTCGACTCTGCATCATTGTTTGTTTTATGATAACTGCAGAAATCCTTGTGCGCTCATTGGCTAATTTTCATTGCCAATAAGCGGACAGACACGTGTATTAATAATGTATGTGATGCATCAATGAGCGAGAGCAGACAATTTCACGATTTGTTATTGTAAAAAATAAACTGGCGTCACTCAGTTTTTCATGCGTCTATCCTGTTATTGACAATAAATTTCGTCATACCATTGTCAAAGTAGTCTGTGGATCCGCAGACTACTTTAACAATGTTATGACAAAATTCATGCTCGAAAAGATTAATTAAATGTTTTAACCTCTCCTCCTCACAGCACAACTTTCATACCCAAATATTTCAGCTAAAAACACATATCAATATTTTTTTATGGTAGTTTGTGGAATTGTAAATTGTATTCCAGTTGAACTAAGTTGCTTTAATGTTCAAAATTCTCAGAACTAAATATTTTTTTTATTTCCAATTGAAAGTGATTTCTTGAACTTCGAAGGGAAACAAGATTCCATTCAAGGCATAGTAGGGGTTTTCAAGATCTATCTAATATCTAACAATTACAGGACAATACATGTAGATTCCCATCTTGTCCCGAGATACATATATCTGACGTAAAAATAGGGTGAAATACTACGATTATCAGTTGAGTAAGGCGGGACGAAAGTTTGGTCACCAAGTTTTAACGTAAAAATCGTGTTGTTGTCACGGGCAACTTACCTTGTTTCCGTTGGTAACAATATCAGCAGCTGTTGGTCGCCTGTCGCGTCGCCTACAATTTCGTGCGCTTTGCTGCCAATTGACGTCAAAGGCGGACAAGTTGCCAACGGATATGGAGCCAGTTGCTCGTGACAACAAAACGATTTTTATGTTAAAACTTGGTGACCAAACTTTCGTCCCGCCTTACTCAACTGATAATCYTAGTAAATCCAAGAGAAACAATTTTTACTCAGACTTATTAGGAGTTTTGAGAAGTCCATGGTTTGAGAAATCGGGATTCAACTGCACAGTACAGTGTACATCCTATCCAATGATTACTTTTTATTTTTTCTCTGATGACCCGTTTGCTTCCTAATAAATGTTATTAGAATTATATGAAGAAATACACATAAGAAGTTGATCAATCTTGGAAAATTATCCTAAAAGGGTTTTAAAAGCTCTGTAACTGAGGTCTGCAGGGACGGCAAATTGTGTCACTTTCCACTGTGTTTGAACAAAGTTATATAACAATGAGCTACAGTTGATTACTTCCGTCCCAGTTAAAACTGTGCATTGTCAAACCAATTCATTATTGACACATTTTTTGACAGGCCTTCTTTCTTTGTGGAAATTGAGCTCCAAAGGAAAGGAAAACTTTTCAGTTGCCAACCTTATCATAAGCAAGTCTGGATGTGAATTACTTATATTGGATCTTACCATACCCAAATTCACAATCAGCCAATCACAAGCCACAAGCTATATCTACTGTTCTGATATCTTGCGATATTGTGTCACTGATCTTTTATGGCTAAGATAAAATGCTCACTTGGATGAATTTGGGTATGGTAAACACCAAATCGTACCTAGTTTTTTGCTATGCTTCAGCCTATCAGGCTCATTTTGTCTCACCACAGGTATTTTCACTTTATTACGTCTCACCAAAATACAAACCACGGCTTGACCAAACTTGCCTGATGTGCCACCAAAGTGTACCAAAAAGGTATCATTTAGGGTGCATTTCTTTAAGAAAATCCAAGATTGGATTCTTAAATCCAAAAACGGATTTTGCGTTTCTTTACTAAACAGATTAATCCAAGATCATGGTGCATCGATCAAAGGAACCCAAGAATCCTCGCCCATTTTCGGATTTAAGAATCCAATCTTGGATTTTCTTAAAGAAACACACCCTTAGGTATAAATGCTGAACACTGAAAACAAATTAAGCTTAAATTATTGAACAAAACAAACTATTATAAGTTCTACACATATCCTGCAAAGAGAGAACCAAAGTTAACCTGATAGTCAAGTTATTAAAATATTTTTATATGATAATAATTATTAATATAATACATTTGTTGAATTTATTATTATTGCTGAATTATCTGAGTCTGATCTAAATCACATCGAGATATATCTCACACTTTAACAAGGTGTTCGATAGTCAAATATGTCAATAACGAAATAGCCTGTAAAATCGCCACGAAACGGGAGTCAGCTCCTTTTTGTTTCATACATAAATTTAAATAACAAATAACACTGAAACAGAAATACAAAAGATTACTTATTGAAACAGCAAAATTTCTAATCCTCTTAGTACGCTTACTCAAAGTTATGGGTCAAACATTTCTAGAGGGCAACTTGATATTATTCGAATTTACGTCTGAATTGCATAAACAATGACATAAGTTAACCAAGAGATAAAGATGTAATTAGTAATAATTGCTCATATCGGCATAAAATAAATTGTAAACAAACCCAAAGATACAGGCAACTTCCTACATGTAAATTAAGAGTTCATATTGGCTTTAAGGTAGTCTGATTACCATGAAAGGTCATAAAATACTTACAACAGTAAGCTTACAAACTCGCACAGGCAGCGGGGAGGCGCGTAAAACAGGCTAACTCGCATCGCCACTGTCGTTTAATGTTGTTCTTATTTATAAGCCTACCTTATCATACTCGGTATGAAAAGTAACTTGTCCTCCTTTCGACTCTGCTACCGTGGCAGGGACCCAATCTTTTCCCTCGAGAAGCCACACACGAGATCCCTAGAAAACAAAGAAATTCTAAAGTTTCATTCCGACACATTCGACCGCAAAAGGGTGACAGTCATTTTCGCACAATTAAGGGACATCAGTAAACAACAAAATAAACCTACCACTTCGTGAAATGACTCCATTGCTAAATTATTGATTCACCAACCGGCGTGTTCACACGACATCACAAAATCGGCATCATATCTGACCGGTGAAAATAAACTGGTGAAAACACTTCCGAAAGATTGAGATCGCAGTTCGCCTTGTTCGATCGCGCTCTCTTTTCCAGATCGCGGGCTCAAGCTGTCACAATACGGAAGCCGGTTCGGAAGGGAGGGGGACTTGTGGGACGAATTTGCGTTCTTTGAAAGGAAACTATTCGAACGTAGATCGTATTCAGGAAAATCTGATCTATAGTCTTACACGCGAATAAAACATGTTCTCTGTTCGCTTTCAAAAACTAGGAACGGGACAAAGTGTGGCAGTTCAAAACCAAGGACAAAAATATCTCAGAAAACATCCCTTTCGACCTTTACTGAGTGACGTGACGTGTTTTGTTGGGGGTAGTCCAATAAATCTATTTTGTTGTCACTTGTCTGTTGGTTTGTGAACGGGAAAGACAGCAGAGCTGCGAACGACAGCAGAGTAGCGACAGCAGAGCTGCAAACGGAAGTTCCACAAGGCTTGGTCGAAAATATTCTATGCATCTGATCCTGTTCTGTCAAGCGATAAGATTTTCAGCTATTTCTCGGCCTGATAATCAGCTCAGTGGTCAGTCACGTATTGCTACTATCAGAGGATGTCGTGGGTGGGGATCCACGTATTCTTAATAGATTAGATCTTCAGTTTTTTGCCGTTGCTTACTTTCAGTTGGTGTAAAGACGGAACCCTCGTTACGGACTACAATATTTTTTTACAAGAATATATTCTATAAGAATATCGAGGCTGAAATTTGCGAAAATTTAAGAACATTTTAAGAATAAACCCGAGGCTGAGATTTTGAATGGAACATAATTTATCAGTCGAAAATTTGTAAATACAAAACAATTATATGTTTTAAACAAAATGGTATAAAATTCGTCCTTTCTCTACACGGCAAAACTAGCCAAAAAGCAGCAAAAACAGCACTAGCCGTAAGTTCGATGCTAATAAAATTTTGCAAGAAGTTCAGTGTGCGTGACAGGCTTAACTTAACTGCCTGCAGGCTGGCTCCAAAACTAATTCAACACCATTGCGGCAGACACCAAATACATTTCAAAACAGAAATGTCATACGCTATAATCTTAGAATATTCGCAAGAATATTTTCAGCCTAAAATTGGCATTTAATAAGAATATTCAGCCTTGGCAGGAAAAACAATATTCTTATAAAATATTCGTATAAAGGGGTGTATCGAGGGGAATGGCCTTCCCCTGTTCTTTTACGGTTATCAAGATACATTCTCGTGCGAGTTTATATAATAATGATTCCTTTAAAAAAAATACTAATGAACTGTAAAATCAAAGTCATAACAGCACCAATCCCAAAAGCTGCAAGAAAAAAGTGCAACAGCTCAAAAGAGCTCAGAAGCAATAGCAAGTCACTTCTTGTTTTGCGATTTGTTTAGCAGTTTGCCTTTGTAATTAATAACTGATTGGTAGGGGTGGCGAATGGTAAATGCGAGACTTTGTGAAACGACAAGATTAGCGTTTTTCTTTGCTAGCCCGAGACATTTTGATTTCTTCACTTGCGAGACCGAGACTTTCGAAAGTGTTTTGAATGCGAACTCAAGACGTTCAGGTTCTAAGATGTTCTGATGTCATTTAACTTTACTAAAAAAAAAAAACAACAAATCGTTACTTCGCGACTTTCTTAGCCTTGAAAAAAATGGAGACTGCGAGACGCACATAACCGCTGAAAAACGAGACTGCGAGACCCGTGAAATTCGGCGAAATTTTTGCGAGACCCATGGTTTTTGAAGGACCATTCGCCACCCCTATTGGTGAAAATAATGTAAAACTTTTGCGGACCAACACTAAATATAGAGACAGCTCCTTATAAGCAAAATCAAAATGCATGATATTTTACTCTGGAAACAGTATTGTGCGAGAAAACACCCTTGTCACATGCCAATCCTGTAGACAATGGTTCTATCCCGGGTTCTACGCACTAAACCAAAACACACCGCACACCAGTGCTATCTTTTTCTTCAACGACGGTAACTGAAAGTACATGGTGCGCTGCTCCGCATCGAGTTTGGGAAAAAACCTTCGTCAATAATTACAAAGAAAACAGAATTCGGGGCACGATCAAACAATTTCTGCTTTCAAGATAGTATCAAGTAACAGGTGAAAAAAAAAAACGTTGAAAAAACTGATGAGTGCTCGTAAATAACAGGAAATTCCAAAGGACAATTCAGTTCGCGCGATTTGGTTTGATGTGTTATCACACTGGTCAAAATGTTGTGGACTCGCGAGGCGCAGCCGAGTGAGTCCACAACAAATTTTGACCACTGTGATGACGCATATCGACCACGCTAAACCACATTCGATTTGTTTTTCACCACAATATCGACGTCAAAGAAAATGTTTTTTTTTGTTTCAGAGTGTGACCAAGAGCGTGACACATTGACGCTAGCAGCGTTGTCTGGACTCTTCACGAAAACGGCAAATTAGCCAATCAGATTGCGAGATTAGTAGCAATTGTGGTAAAAAGAAAGCTCGAGCTCATAGTCTAATATTGTTAATGAGAGGTCGGGCCGAGAGCAAATTAACCTGCTGCTGAAACATATTGAGTTTATAAGAGGACTCGAAAGTTCGGAATTGTGTACATGTGTAAGAAAGTGCACAGGGAGGACAACTAAACAAAGACTTTTACCGTTAGCTGAGGCACATGTGGAGACTAAAGCCTTGTTTCCACTAGCTACGCACGTCATAAGGTACTGCATGGGTTCAACGTACCTGAGAATTGTTAAAAGTTTCAACAGTTAACAGTTAGCTGACAAAATAACACGTTTTTTAAACCGATAGCTGAGAAATCAGATCGGCAAAATTCCCTGATAGCTGAGAAATAGGCCGTAATTTTAACTGATAGCGTAGATGTTGGCTGTAGTTTTAAATGATAGCTGAGCTGATTGGACAAAATAATGTTAACACTAAGCTGAGAAAATAATGCGTTTTTAACCGACAGCTGAGAATCGACGTCATTGAGATCTGCAGAATTTCCTCATAGCTCAGCAAGATTAGGCTGTAATTTTAGCTAAAAGGTGAGAAGTCGGCAAAAATTCAACTGATGGTTGAGAATTGATCAAAATTTTAACAGTTAGCTGAGAAGATAACAAAATGTAACAGATAACTGAGATTTCATAAGTGTAAGCACACATAAAATGTTGGATACTTGTGTCCAGGGAGGGTGGCAAAGGTGGTGTACCAATCACGCACCAGGCTGAATTTCTCTACTAAATCACGCATCATGGAGAATTTTTTTCACCAATCCCGCGTCACGTAAAAAGAAGTAAATATATCGGCAATTTTACTTTCTGGACCCTAAAAGCGTTGTTAAAAGAAGAACTTTGCCGATTCAACCACAAAGATGCATTGGCAAATATGTGACCTCTCACGCGAAAACGTTCCTTACGGTATCCGTTCGAACGGCTCAACGCACGGCAAGTGAGCCAGCCTGCGAACAGGCTCCCAGCGAGGGCGGAAAAAAATCCTTTGGAGGCGGAAAAATAATCCGGCTAGCGAAGCGAGCAGTTAAGCGCGAAGAAACGAATTTCGCGAATTACGCTCCTCCTTGTCATCATTTCGCTCGCCCTAGACTACACTTGGTTAGTTCGCACTAAATCCATTAACGCAACCAGGAGCCTGTTTCCAGGCAATAAGGGAACGGATAATTTGAATAGCGATAGTCACCTTACTTGTTCCAAGATATCCTAATGTAGACCACTTGGTTCTACATGAGTTGATAACCACTGAATATAATGAGTAATGACTCTAAAAACGATTTAATGAAATGCAAACTGTGAAGATAAATGTTAGAGATTCAGGAGATGTGGGCTGTGTAGGTATATGTTGGGAATTAATACGATGAAAGCAGTGTAGGCGTATGTGGGGGATAAATGAGATGTAGGCTGTGTAGGTATATGTAGGGGATTAA